ACTCAAGGCAGAGATTTCCCAACGATTTAAGCAACATCTCGCCAAGGCGAGGAACAAGGAGCAGTCTTCCGCCTCGGAGAGCGAAGCTCCCAAGAGGCCCATCAAGGCCAAGCCTATGCCTAAGAAACAGAAGGATGCCGCCACTGCGGCTAGCTCCGATCAAGCATCCGGCACCAATGACCCCGATACTGAAGTTGATCTGCAGGCCGCATCTCCTTGGGGCGGCCGCAGGCAGGTTGTTAAGACAAGGGCACGCCGTGAGATGAATGCCCAGGCAAAAGACTTGTTCCGTGATGCGGACGCAGCCCAAAAGTTTTTCACAAAGTTCAAAAAGGATACAGACGAAATTCAATGGTTTCCTCGCCCTGCGGGTCCTCAATGCTGTAAGAATTTTTCCGAATGCGGAAATGCAGAGGCAATGTTCTGGTGCCACCCTTGTGGCTTTGCCTTTTGCTTGGAATGCCGCACCTGCGGCTTAGCTTGCAATCATAGCATTGTTAATTATTCCTCTGAGTTGTCCGCCGATTTTATGCCAGACAGCATCGGATCATCCAAGTCGCCTTTCGATATCAAAGAATTGGTTGATGCTGTTCTTGCTGAATCTTCGTATTTCGGAGCCACACGAAGCGAGCATGCTCAAAACCGTCAGGAAAAATTCTCGGAACTTATCACGCATCTGCCTGAAGGCCGATCCATGGGGAATACCTACCTGCAGTCTTTTGCACGGCATGGTATTGAGGATTTCGACTATACAGAATATATTTATGAAATGCCATTTGGATGTCGAATCCCCACTCTCCAGGAGCACTTTGTTGACGCCCAGGACCAGACGCCACTTCCGATCTGGCGACCTGAGGCTTTCTTCAAGTACCCTGACGGCGGTGACCTTAAGGAAGGAGAGATTCTCCGTTTATTGGAGCTCTTCAGATCGTGCCTTCTTGGAAAAAGAGCAGTCCTCGGTGTTGCCAAGCGCACTAAGGAGAACATCCATGAATTTCAGAAGGACACGTATCAGCTTGGCATTTTGACGTTGAACCTTGGTCACATCAACCGTATTCCGTATATCGGAGGTGGTTCAAAATTTCCAAAATGGGTCAGAACTGATATTAACCATCGTGCCTTGCCACATTTAGTGTTCCGTAATGCGGCCCATATTGTGTGCTTGTGCGAAGCTTCCGATGAGTACGGAGGAATTGCCATCCATAAAGAACTTGCCGAAGAGTACGGGATGCTAGGAATGGTAGTCCATCCGGCAATCCAATCGCAGTCCGTTGCAATTTTTCTCCGTGGCTCACATGATGCAGGCTCATTTATTGAACTTTTATGTCATCATCAGATTACGACAGGCAAGAAAAGCAGCCCTTTTTGGATTTTGCATGGCGCCATTTTTCGCCTTTGCCATGGCATGAATACGTCAGGAGAATTTGTGGACCCTTCTTCTGGCGCTCGTGTTCCGAAACCGGACATCGAGAAAAATGACGAATCTACTGTTTATCAGCATGATCGCCCCCTAGCAACGACGCTTGATTTTCTTGATCACTCGATCTGTGAGATCGACGGAGACGATGATCTTGCCGTTTCCGGCGTAGAAGTCTGCGAAGTGAATCTTGGTGCTGACACCCATGACGTACGACGTCTCATGTTAGCTGAATGCCGTGTAGCGGTTTTTCATATTTCCTCCTATGCATGGAGTAGTGCTTATCAAGAGACGTGCCAGAAATGGCTCCAATTTGTCGCAAGCTGTGTCGAGCACCAGTGTGACTTTTTGTCCGGCGACGGCAACCTTTTCGCACAGCGAAGTTTTAAGTCTGATGGCCATTCCGATTTCCGGACATGCATCAGGATCGACATCCTTGAGCGTTTTCTCCAACAGATCAACCTTCATCGCAGTCCGGTCAACCGTATTACGTATAACGTAGTTTCATCGACCACTGCTGCTGATTACATCCGAAGCATGCGTGGAGATGATGCTGATTGTGATTCAATGCTTTTAATTTCTCTTTGTTACGGTAAGCAAATAGCTGTCACGGAGGCACGTGCCAAGGAAGAATACGCTTCTGCTGATGGATTTGCAGGATCAGCTTTTTCAGACGAAGTTATGTTGAACGATGCTGAACAGTTAAAACATTTGCTACCGTATGACCTTGGTTTGGCAGAAAAGGACTGTGCATGGCACTCACCTCTCCTTACATATGCCCAATTAAAATCATTGAAAAATATGCGCATCCGTTCCAAGGAATCTGAAGATAAAAGACGTGAAAAATGGATGCAGAAAACCCAAGGATATCTCGACAAACGAGAAGAAAGGAGAGACAGTGTTCCGCCTTTGCGGACTGATTCACACCGAAATGTTGGACGCACTCGAAGTCGATCGGTCAGCAGGACCAGAAGCTATCGACCCAGAACTGAAACACCAGCACCGCCTCCGGCACCTGCTCGAGGTCCAGCAGTGAATCCTAAACCAGTGCAATATAAAGCAGCACCAATGTCCCTCAAACAACCATCAGAACCGAAGTCGTCGGGATCTTCCTCCAGTGCTCGGCCGCCTGTCAAAGCACCTCCAGTTCCGGCGACCGGACGCGGACGAACACTAGGTTCACAACAGCCAAAATCGCCACCCGATCCGCCAGGTCCACCGAAGACTCCACCGCCGTGGAGAGAGAGATCGCAGCAGGCCGACCAGAGGCAGAGATCGCAGCAGGCCGACCAGAGGCAAACAACCAGAAAAAGGCCAATTAACGTACCTGAGCCTCCTGCGCCTCCATCCCGCATGACGGGTTCGCAATGGCTTGACCAAGGAACAGCTTCCAGCTCTTCCGGGTACCGTAATTACGGTTACAACTATGATCAGCCGTCATACTATAGAGTGAATCCTCATACCACTAATGTAGAATACGTCCCAGGGTACCAAGTACCCAGACAGCGTTGGGTTCAGAAATATGACGGATCGTGGCTTGACATGATTCCGCAAACACCGGATCAGTCCATTTTCTTTCATCAGACCGGTGAGCTCAGAAGGAGAAACGAATTGAGTTTCTACGGTTACTATTTCACTACGGGCTTGTAGCCCCAAAAATTTTGCAATGTTCCGCATTTGCGGTCGCTTGCCAACAGCCGAGAACAACCGCTTGCCAACAGCGGAGAGTAGCTTTTTGTACAGTTTTGTTTTTGTCTTCGGACCGTCTCACAGCAGATCACAGGCTGAGCGCTACCTGTGAAACAGAGTTGCATGTTCCGACACGAAGAAAATTTGTGTCTGTTTGTGATTTATTTTTGTTTACGTGTCTACACAATGCTGTCAGACATGTACACATAATTCATATCTTTCATGCGCACTCCGCATGGCTCAAGACTAGCAGAATCTTGCGTAGAGAAAAGAGTGTAGTCGCCGCTGCTTGACACAGGTGTTGTGTATATAGTTCCAGGGCTCCCTTAAAGGGGAAAGCTACCTCACCCCCCCTGTGGTGTGGTGGGGGTGTGGTACTGTCCCCCCCCCCCTGTGGTGTGGTGGGGGTGTGGTATGGTGTTGGGTATGTATGGTGTGTATGGTCGGTCTGGTATGGCATGTTTGGATGTTTGGAAAGTATGGTATGTTTGGTTTGTGTGGTAGGTATGGTATGTATGGCATGAATGGTTGGCATTGTATGGGTGGTAGGTAAGGTATGTAAGTCTGTTGGGCATGGTCTGTTTGATATGACAGTATGTATGGCCTGTATGGTATGTATGGTTACTATGATGGGTATGGAATGTTTCCTATGTAAGGTAGGTATGGTATGTATGGCATGTATGTTTGGTATTGTATCCATGATAGGTGTGTTAATTATGTTTCATGTGTATGGTATGTGTGGTATGTATAATAGGTATGATAGGTATGGTTTGCATGGCATCATTGGAATGTATGGTAGGTACGGTATATGTTAAACACATGTAGTGTTGTCAGAGTACACAGGTAGTAAATAGGAAGTAGATACATAGCACATGTATATATGACTATAGGTAGCACGTAGGTACTTTGAGGGAGTATGTGTGCTACGTAGGTCGCCTAAAAGGTAGCATGTACCTAGTACATGCGAGGCTGGTAGACAGAAATGCTGCAAAGACCTAGCAAATACGAAGCTGGACCTCAGAAATGCTGCCAATAGCTTGCAAATAGAAGGGAAGGGGGGTGCTACCTGGGGACCCAACCCATTGGGGACGGGGGGGTGTGGACAGACGGAGGACGGGACCATACATACATACATACAGACAGACATACATACATACTTGCTTACTTACTTACTTAATTACTTATTTACTTACTTACTTACTTACTTACATACGTACATACATACTTTCATACATACATACACACATACATACATACATACCTACCTACATACATACATACATACATCCATACGTACATACATACATAAATACTATATGTTGAATCGTTTTTCCAGATATAGATATCTAATGGTACATCATTTCATTTATACTCACTGTCTTTTAATGATGTGCAATAATGTGTAGTGATGTGTAGTGGTGTAATGATGTGTAGTGATGTATAGAATATGTGAAGAGCAAAGCACAGAGATGGAGGGCACACATGCAACAAATCCTGATACGACACCATGAATACGATTGGCCAGTCAGTCTCGCTGTCTTACTTCATCTGACTTCTCTACGATCCAACCAGCTTCTGAGATCACTGAGGATGCTCGTCAGGCTGGGGGTGAAAATCTGAGATTGGCTGTTGATCATCTTGCCACATATGCTACAGCAAATCACGCCGCCAGCTTCGGATCCATCCCCCTTTTGTGGGGTCAGCACCTGATCGCTGCCTGAACAAAGACTTGCGGCCATCCATCAGTGTGCTCCTGTGGTGCCTGATTCATTAGAAGCCCCCAAATTAGTGAACTTGCATTGTGCATATCTACGATCTTTGGTGAACCTGACCAGGGGGCTCTCGCATGGTAGCGGAGCCTGGCAGGCACCAATAGATCTGAGCCATGGCGACCATGGGGAACAAGGAGGACTCAGTGGACTTCAAGTATCCCACATGGGATGGTGACTGGAACAAATGGACGGACTATCAGCTGCGTGTTGAGTTGAGAGCTGATGGACTGAAAGAGGAGGACCAGAAACTTCTAGGACCTCGGCTTGCATCCAATCTGACTGGAAAGGCCTTTGACAGTCTCGCTGAGATTGACAGAGAGAAGTTACGCCAACCCGATGGGTGGCAGTACTTTCTCAAGTTTCTCGAGAAGACTCGAGGCCGTGAAAAGGTAGATCTTCTTGGAGATGCTTTCAACGAGTTCTTTGTGCGCAAAGAAGTCTACCGCAAGGACGGTGAGGCCACCACGTGTTCCAGCTTGTATGACTCTGAGCGTCCACGAACATTGGCGATGTCCGATGGATCCATCCTCATATAGCAGTTCAACAGGAACCAGCCAAGGACTTCTGTTGGCAGTTTGCCTTCTGATCCTGATTCTTTGAGGGCTTTCTCTAATCTTCTGGTCAGACTTCGAAATCTGGGTTCATATTCTGAAAACTCCTCCCTTCAAAAGATGTGGAGTGGAGGCGGCCTAGCTGCCAAGGATCAAGAGATGCGTCGTCGCCGAAAAGATGGTGGACAAGCCTTGCTGGTTGATGAGCCTTCTCGACCTGATGAAGGGGAGGTCTACCAGAATGTGGACGAAGATGTGATGGAAAGCCATGCCGCCACCAATGATGAAGAGCTTGAGGAATTGGCCACTTGGTACCAAGAAGCCTATGTTGCACTCGTAGATGAGCCTGATGATACTGAGATACTTGCCAACTTCAAGGATGCTCGTCGTGCCCTGGACCAAGCTAGAACGGCGAGGGGTTTTTACCCTGTGAGACACCCTGACAGTCAAAAAGGTCGTGGTAAGTCTCAGGGCAAGGGGAACTACAATCGAGACAATGAGCATGCCAACAAGACCTGCATTCGGTGTGGGAAGCGTGGCCACATTGCTCGTATTTGCCCACAACGAGCTCAAAGTGATGGCAAAGGCCAAAGTGGAAAAGGAAGTGGCAAGGTGGGTTTTGTCGGTGTCCAATGGCAAGAACCAACTGCAGAGAATGCATGTGATAAAGGTGACGAGTGTGCACAGGTCTGGGCCACGACTGGCCATGAAAACCAACTTCGTGGCAAGGCTGTCCTGGATAGTGGTGCCTCAGATAACGTGATTGGAGTGAACACTTTGCAAGATCTCGCAGACATGTACGAGGAGCTTGGCCTCAACACTGAGGACGAGTTTGAGATCGACCGTAACATCCACAAGAGCTTTGTCTATGGTGGTGATCACAGTAGCAAGGCTCTGGCACTTGCACACCTGAACCTTGGTGTCTTGGGAAATGAGATGATGGTCGATGTGCATGTTGTGGAGGGCAGTACACCTTTGCTGCTCAGTGCAAAGTTCCTCTATGATTCCCGAGCCACCATTGACTTCCGAAAGGGGACAGCTGTCTTTGAGGGCATCAACCATGAAGCGTATCAGCTGGAAAGGAGTCCAGGTAATCATCTCCTTCTACCAGTCACTGTCTTTGGTGGGCGCCGTGGACTGATGAGATCTACTGAGATGTGGCCTCCTGCGGTTCCTGTACTGAGTGCGCCTGAGTCAGATCCGGACCCAAAGGGGGATGAACCGAAGCTCTAGGGACAGCTCCACCAGGATTGTAATGGACATCCTGAACATGGGATGAGGGTCTTGAGTGGAGATAGGAACCTAGATTCACAATTCAGTGCAACCAATTTTGATGATGGTTTCTGTGTTTTTGTGGAGCCTCCTGATGATGTTGGGGACGCACAGTACCAATTCATGGGTGACTGTAAGCGGGAGTGCGCGCAAGAGCTCCAAGATACCATGTTGGCTGGAGTGGGTGACATTCTCAACCTCATAGGTGAAAGTTCGTTGGATTTGTTGGAAGTTTGTGCACCTTGGGATGCACCACTGACCCAAGCAGTGAAGGATGCAGGGGGACGGGCTATGGCTGTTGGGATTCATAATGGGTATGATCTCACCACCAATCAGGGTTTCAAAGATGTTGCCAAGTTAATCAGAGAATATAAACCCCGGTACCTTCATGTTAGCCCACCTTGTGATCCATGGACTGCTTTTTCGAATTGTAATCAACGAACTGAGGAACAAGTGTCTCGGCTTCATGAACGCCGTAGGATCAGTCGACGTTTGCTAAGGAACTGTCGTAGGCTTTTGGAAATTCAGGTACAAGAATTGAACGGCAGTGTAGGACTGATACCGGACATGGGACCACACCATGGGGGAGGTGAACACCCACTTCATGCACAGAGCTGGAGGGTACCTGACATGAGAAAAATGGTTCGGTTGTGTGGTGAACGTTTTGCTGTTCATGGTTGTATGCATGGCATGTGTAGTAGGGATACACGTGAACTTGTCAAGAAACCATGGGGTTGGTTTTCCACACATGCTGGAATCAGAAAAGCTCTGGAACGAAAGTGCATTCATGGAACTGGAGCACACCGCGTCATCCAAGGTAGCATCACTTCATCCACAGCAGTTTATCCTCCTTTGTTGTGTCGTCGTTTTGCCAAAGCCTTGATGCAAGACGTTGTTGATTTGTTTCCTATTTTTCAAAGCTGTGAGGTGAAGGATTCAACCGAAAACAACAGTTTTGATTTTGATCCCACTCACGCCATTTTGGCTGAAGGGGTGGCAGGTGCTGAGGACAATATCAATGCTGCACCCGTTCCTGATAGGGAGGAACAAGACCAACCTCAAGCACCTGGGGACGATAATAGAGAATCTGAGGAGGACACTGGGAATGATGCCGCATATAAACAAATGATTCGTGATGCTCACCGGAATTTGGGTCATCCTGGCAAAGAATCCTTTATTAGGCTGTTGAAAGATGCTGGTTCCAAACCCCGAATCATTCAACTTGCTGAAGAATTTGATTGTCCTGATTGTCTCATGAGGGGTAGGAGAAGTACTGTCCGCCAGTCTGTTGTTCCCAAAATCTATGAAAAATGGCAGTGTGTTAGTGTTGATTCCTTTTGGTGGCATACTCCTCGTGAAGCCTTGAAACCCGGGGAAAAACCTCAGTACTGTATTGGGATTAGTATGATGGATGAAGCCACTGACTTCCACTGTGCCGCAATCATCAGATCTGGTTTTGAGAAACCTTTTCGAAATATTTCTGGAGCTGATTTCAAACAGGCTTTTGAGAAGACCTGGCTCCAGTGTTTTCCTGCACCCTCTTGCTTGCGCTACGATGAAGAAGGGTTTCTTAGAAAAGTGGAAGTTATTGAGTGGTTGGAAACGTTTGGCATGAAACTTGAACCTATTGCGGGAGAGTCGGCATGGCAAGCTGGGAAACATTCCAAACATCTTCAGACTTTGAAAGAACAAATGAATTTGTTGAGTATGGAACTTGGGAGTGATCGTGATTGTAATCAGTTGTTAGCCCTAGCAGTCAGTGCCAAAAACTCCATGCATCAGGTGCGAGGATACAGTCCTAATCAATGGGCTTTCGGACAAAGCCACAGTAGGTTGTCTTCCTTCTTGCAGCAGTATCAAAACATGCCACTGCAGTCACGTCGTGAAGACCTGACCTTTGAGGAGAATCTTCAAACTGAGGTCACTGCCCAACGTTTGTTTTTGAAAGTGGATGCACAGCGAAGGCTCTCTCGAGCTCTCCATTCGAAATGCCGACCTTTGAAAGAGTTCCAATTGGGCGAACTCGTCTATTACTTTCGAAGAGGAGTGAAAGAGGGATCACGGTATGGGGGACATTGGCATGGACCAGCACGTGTTTTGACACATGAAAAGACTTCCTCTTATGAAACTGGACAACATTTGGGATCTGTCGTTTGGATTTCACATGCTGGTAAAATCCTTAGATGTTCACCTGAGCAGCTACGTCCTGTGCAGCATGATTTGAGACATCTGGACAAGGACATTAATGGACCACGAAACTTCTTTGATTTGTTGGAAGGCATCAAAAATCAAAGGTATCTAGATCTGACTTCTGATGTCGAAGCCATGACACGTCTTGACACGCAAGAACCTGATGTTCCTCATTTTAGGGCTCGAGGCAAAAAGCCACTCAGTGAACTCCGCTCTCCTGACGAAGCATTCGGTGACACAACCCGAGAGCGCAATGTCGATGCCAAGCGCCGACCTGAAGACTCTGTTGGACCTTCAGGACAAGAAGGGACAAGTGAGCCGAGAGGAGATTCAGAGCATGTCGCTCGAAGACCTCGGCTCGATGAAGATGGACCAAGGGGAACGCCACAAGGGGCACCTCTTCCAGGAGATCTACAAGGACAAGAGCTACAACCGTTGGGTGGCAAGCCACATCAAGGACGACGACCCAGTCTTCCGCACCATCCACAAGTACAAGATCTACCTGCATCGTCGTCTGGCTCAGGAGCTCGAGGAGGAGAATGTCCTGGGACATCCAGGAAGCGGAAGCCATCAACTTCCCCTGAAACCTTCGAACGTGAAGAAGGTGCACACCAAGGAGGGGTCCCGCCAAGCAGCAGAACTGGAAGCCATGGGTCAGTTGACTCCAATGCCCATTCCGGACGACGAGAGCCTGTCTCATTGGAGCCAGGTGGAGAACATGGAGAACGACATTCAGAACCTCCACAATGGCAACGAGCAGCTGCACCAACGCATGGCGCAGATGGAAGCCTGCATGGCCCAGATTCTCACGGTCTTGCAGTCGGGACCACATGGAGCGTTGAGCCAGGAGAACACGAACTGAGTGAGGGATGCCAGAATTCAAGAGAGTCCGTAGGTGTGAGAACAACCTTTTGCTGTCAGGACACTGCGAAGACAGTGTCTGGAGAACATGTGTCTAGTGACTTGTTGAAAAATTTCACTGCTTATGTTCAAGAACTTGATGTTATTCAAATGGAGTTAGTACTTGCACCTCGTGACGTCCACCGACAAAAGAGTGCCTGGGTGATCAATGCGAAGGTTAAGAAGGGAGCTGAAGTTGTTTTGAGAAAACTCTTACCTCATGAACAACAGCAGTTTGATGAAGCCATGAAAAAGGAAATTGACTCCTTTCTTTCCAGTGATGCTGTTCAAATCTGTTCTGCGGCTGGCATTCCAGAGGAACGCATTATGCAAATGCGTTGGATATATACTTGGAAAGTGGTCACTGATAGCGCTGGTAATGAAACTGGGAAACGTGCAAAAGCTCGGTTGATCATCAAGGGTTTTCAGGATCCTAGACTCCTCCACTTGCCCAGAGAATCTCCCACACTTTCTACTCTGGGTCGAAACATGTTGTTGACATGCGCTGCCAGGAAACACTTTCCCGTAGCCTCAGGAGATATCAAAACAGCTTTCCTGCAAGGTGGTAAAACCGAACTTCAGGACGAACTATATGGAATGCCACCTCCAGAAGTGCGAACTGCCCTGTCCATGAAAGACAATGAAATCCTGCGTATTGCAAAAGCTATTTATGGCCTCTTGAATGCACCAAAGCGTTGGTTTGAGTCTCTCAGTACTTTCTTGATTGATGATGGTTGGATTCCCCATAGTCTTGATAAGTGTTTATATAAACGAATTGATGAAAACAACAAAGTGTGTGGGTATCTTGGGTTTCATGTTGATGATGTTTTGTGTGCTGGACGGGGCGTTGAGTATGAGCGTAGTCTGGAACGACTTCGACAAAAATTCACTTTTGGGTCTTGGGCTGAAGCCCAAAAGGAAAGCCTCATGTACTGTGGCTGTGAAATCACTCAGGATTTCAATTTTGCTATTCATGTCAACCAAGAACGGTTTGCTCTGAGTATTGATGAAATCAATGTGTCACAAGAGCGTAGAAACGAAACGTATGAACCAGTGACTCATTCAGAGCGCCGTTTGATGCGACAAGCTTTGGGAGCTTTGAACTGGAGAGCAACTCAAAGTGCACCTTGGATGTTGGCCACGGTATCTCATTTGCAAGGATGTGTTGAACAAGCTTGTGTTGGAGATCTTTGTTCTGTCAATAAATTGGTTCGGTTGCAAAGAAAACATTTTAATCGTGGTTTGGATTTTGTTCCTGTTACTGGTGATGCCACGGTGGTCACTTTCACGGATGCTAGTTGGGCTACCCGTAAAGATGGTTCCAGTCAAGGTGGTCAGATTACCCTCCTTATGCAGAAAGGTGTTCTTTGGGGAGAAAAGACTTCTTTTTGTGTTTTGAATTGGACTAGCCGTAGACTTCGTAGGGTAGCTCGATCTTCCACGAGTGCTGAAGCCCAAATGAGTGCCAATGCCCTGGACTACCATGAATTTGTCAAACTGGCTTTTGTGGATGTTGAGTGTACTCAGAAAATTGATTTGAGACATACTGATGAATATTTGTCCTCTTTTGAGTCCACCATGGTCTGCGATGCTAGGAATATTTTCGATGGAATTGTCAAGGTTGAAACTTCAGGACTTCAGATGGAGGAAAAGAGAACCGCCATTGAGCTTCTTGCCATAAAGGAACGGCTGCAGCAAGCTAGGGTCACACTTAAGTGGGTTGATGGTGAACAGGAAATGGCCGATGGGCTCACTAAGCCTTGGAAACATGAGCCACTTTTGAGAGCACTTCAACAGGGTGTTTGGAGAATTGTGTATGATCCCACTTTTCAGTCGGCCCGCCGAAAAAGGGCTATGCGTCTCCAGCAGAACCAAAGTGATGTCTATTGGTTGCACACGGTACTTTCCCTGGCTGATGATCAAAAGAAAATTTTGAAGCCATGAAAATCTGAGATTGGCTGTTGATCATCTTGCCACATATGCTACAGCAAATCACGCCGCCAGCTTCGGATCCATCCCCCTTTTGTGGGGTCAGCACCTGATCGCTGCCTGAACAAAGACTTGCGGCCATCCATCAGTGTGCTCCTGTGGTGCCTGATTCATTAGAAGCCCCCAAATTAGTGAACTTGCATTGTGCATATCTACGATCTTTGGTGAACCTGACCAGGGGGCTCTCGCAGGGGGGACCACTTTTTGGTTTTATGCTTTCGTCATTACAGATTAGAGGTTCAGAGAAAATGGTCCGGTGGACATGCTTTTCTCCAAACATGTTGTTGCTAGCACCGACATCAATGATTTGATATCAATTGCACGAACAAGTTGCAATTACGTCTGCCCTTTGGAGTACTAAGTCATTACGTCTCCTAACATATATTACAATATTGAGATTTTCTACAGTGTGCGCAAAGAATCCGATGAAATCAGCCTATTCCGACAAGATCCCTGCGAAACATCGTGTTTTGATATGTTCTGGTTGACTTTTCGCGGGATGCCTGACTTCATGCGTTTGAGCTGTGCCCATGGGGATGTTTGACTTTAGACGGGCATGCCTGACTTAAAACAAAATCCTCCTACCGATGATGGGTTTAAGTCGGGACTTGGAGCAGCGCCAGGCCGTTCCAGCGAACAATCTGGCAGACCCGCTTGCGGAAGTAATTGCTGCAGAGGCAGAGAACGATGCAAACGTGACTTGCTTGAAATCCCGGTGCCTCACATAACTCAGCATGTTTTTACAAGACTTTGCAACTATATTCGTCTTCATGGCTGATGTTTCTGTCTACCTTTGCCTCCATAAATCGTTCAAATCACTCCGATGGATTTTTTGCCACAGATAATACGTAAAAGACTGAGCTTCCACATTAATTACTTGGGGGACATTGAGAAGAGCTTGACCATTTTAATGAACTCTTGAGCGGTTTTAAGGATACCGAATGACAGGGGGGAGTTTTCCTTGTAATCATGCAATGGAATGTAATGGACATTTGCCAACTGTGACTGCAATATTTCCACCGGGAAAAGACATTGCTACTAAGTCCGCCAGGACGAAACTGCTAATGGTGTGCAAGAGTCAAGGTCGTTACGCTTGATGTGCCTTGTTTGTTGAAACAACATGGCAGGCTGTTGAAGCTGTAGCGGAGGACATCACTCTCGATGACCCATTTGCCGAAGCGGCTCCTGGAGAGGCAGACTGGAAAAAGGGATACCGTGCCATCGTTTTGGAATATTGCTATTTGAATGCATGTGGTGGATACATTATGATACATGTTGTTTTCATTTATCTATACCAGTAGTACCGCACAAGGCGGTGGCGGAAGTTTCAAAAATAGGAAGCCTATAGGAGGGGCTGGTTGTTGTGAATCACGGATGGCAGAGTGAATCCACTGATAGACTGAAAGGTGGTTGGAGTTGTGTGTCTTGGAGTGGTTACAATGTTTGCAGTGGTCACCTGGTCGGTCACCTCAACCACAACTGCTGGATTTATTGTTGTGTGTAGCGCAGCTGTCGTTGTAGTTGTAGTGTAGTGTAGTGGAGTTGTAGTTGTGGTGTAGTGTAATTAGTGTAGTGTAGTTGCAGTTGCATTTGCGGTGGTGTAACGAGCGTAGTATAATGTAATGTAGGGTGGTGTAGTGTAGTGTAGTCTAGTGTAATATATTGTAAAGTAGCATAGTTGTAGTTGTAGCTGTAGTTTTAGTTCGTGTGATGTAGTGTAGTCTAGTGTAGAGTAGTGGTCTAGTGTAGAGTAGTGTGGTGTCGTGTGGTGTGGCGTAGTGTAGTGTAGCGTAGTGTAGTGTAGTGTTATGTAGTGTTATGTAGTGTAGTTGCAGTTGTAGTTGTAGTGGTAGTTGTAGTTAGTGTAGTGTAGTGTTGTGTAGTGCATCTGAGTGTAGTGCAGTCCAGTGTAGTGTAGTGCAATTGAGTGTAGTGTAGTGTAGTGGAGTGTAGTGTACTGGGGTGTAGTGTGGTGTAGCGGAGTGTAGTGGAGTGTATTGTTATGTAATGTAGATGGTGTAGTGTAATGTAATTAGTATAGTGTAATGTAGCGTAGTGGAATGTAGTTGTAGTTGTGGTCGTAGTTGTGGTTAGTGTAGTGTAGTGTGGTGTAGTGTGGTAAAGTGTAGTGTAGTGTAGTTGCAGTTGTAGTTGTAATTTTAGTTGTTGTTGTAGTTGTAGTTGCTGTTGTAGTTGTTGTTAGTGTAGTGTAATTAGTGTACTAGTGTAATCTAATTAGTGTAGTATAGTGCAATGTAGTGTAGTTGTAGTTGTTGTTGTAGTTGTAGTGTAGTGTAGTGTAGTGTTGTGTAGTGTAATTGAGTATAGTGTAACTGGGTGTAGTGTAGTGAAGTGGAGTGTAGTGTAGTCGAGTTGTAGTTTTAGTTGTAGTTAGTGTAGTGTAGCGGAGTGCAATGTAGTGTAGTGTAATGTAGTGTAGTTGTCGTTGTAGTTCTAGTTGTAGTTGTAGCTGTAGTGGAGTGTAGTGTAGTGGTGATTGTAGTTGAAGCTGCTACAAAACCCACCCTTTTTGCTGATTTTTGACAACTGATTTTTGACAAGGTGCAGAATCCCTTGCGCCTGCCACGCGAAACGGCATTTGAACGTCCAAGAGTGGTCCGAACGTGTGGTGATATTAACATTTTGATTTGCAAACGTGCTTCGCGCCGCAACGGCGTACAATTTTTCGACATCTCAACTTCAAAAAGTGCTCCGAACCTTCTGTGTTTTGTACATTTTGGACTTCGAAATGTGCTTCGCCAGAGCGGCGTCCACTTTTTCGACATCTCAACTTCCAAAAGTGCTCCAAACCTGCTGTGTTTTGTACATTTTGACTTGGAAATGTGCTTCGCCGCGCCACATGGCAGCGACGTGCACTTTTTCGACATCGCAACTTCTAAAAGTGCGGTGTTTTTTAGCTTTTTCACTTGCAAATGTGCTCGGGCCGCAGCGGTGTGCAATTTGTCATCTCTCATCTGCCCAGATGGCTCCGCACCCGCCGCTTTAGCGATCCTATTTTTCGACCCTCCTTTGGAAAAACACAATGGTTCGCGACTTTCCTACCTTTTCGCGCACCTGCATCTTCCGTCTTCTCACTCTTCCTCTTCTCTGATCTTCTTTCTTCTTCTCTTCTCTTCTCTGACTCGTCCCATCTCTGCTTTTTATTTGTCCATACTTGTCGGAAGTTTGACTTCTAAACTTCCTTCGATTATATGTTTGTCTCGATGCTTTTAGGTTTCATGTCGCTGGCGTTTGCTGAAGCCAAGTGCAAGGCGGCTCCCGCACTAGCAGAGGACATCACTCTGGATGACCCGTTTGCCGAAATGACAGCTCCTGCAGAGGCGGGGAACATTGTGAAGGGAGACGAAGTGCCCCCTGACCCCACGGATCTCCAGTATGTATTTGTATGTACCGTTCTTTTCTTTCTGGCTACAGAGAATCAGGTTCTTGATTGGTTTTAAAGAGAAAGTCTTACCGCCCCATCTTTTTGTCTCTGCTTTTGGCCACTTTTGGCCTGCTGCGTTCTCACAAGGCACGCTTGTTGCGCAGGTTGTGTACCTGTTCGGGATCCCATCTCCAAGTCGTTTCCTTGGCAGGTTCCGGAAAGCGCCACTCAAGACGATGTGGCCGAGGAGCCTGTGAAGTCTCCAGAGGCCTGTGGACAATTGTGGACACACTTGAAACATCTTATGTCCAGACATATTGTGGGGGATTGTGGGAGGGAACATTGAGAAGTGCTTGGCCATTTTTGACTTTTGAACTCTTGAAGGATTTCTAAGGATACCGAATGGCGGGGGAGTTTTCCTTGTAATCATGCAATGGAATGTAATGGACATTTGCCAATTGTGACTGCACTATTTCCACCGGGAAAGGACATTGCTACTAAGTCCACAAAGACGAAACTGCTAGTGGACAACCAGCTTGGTCCAGGTACGAGTGATAGAGGTGTGCAAATGCGAAGGTCGTTACGCTTGATGTGCCTTGTTTGTTGAAACAACATGGCAGGCTGTTGAAGCTGTAGCGGAGGACATCACTCTCGATGACCCATTTGCCGAAGCGACAGCTCCTGGAGAGGCAGGGAGTGCTGTGAGGGGAGCCACATTGGATTAGATGTTCTTGGATCTCGTTGCTCATTGCATTCAGTGTTCTTCAACACACATTTTTTCCGATAGGGCTTTGCTCGCAAATGATCTATGTTACAATGTAAAGATTGAAGGGACTTCGGTGTCATGCTGAGTGTTCTGGAGGACGCTTTGCTTCTTGGCTTGGACTATGAAGAGATGAATGCTGCCACAGTGAGAGAGGCGCGAAAGATCCGTGCAGAGCTGACTCAATTGAGATTCAGAGCCACGGATAGGAATTTTCAGCTGTGAGCCGTACAGCTGGCACTTTTGGTCCGATTTTCATGTCTTTGGGCCCGTGTCAATCCATGCTCACGCTGTCTTATGAAGTTCACCCAATGTCCTCTGAGGACATAATCATTGAGGTCGAATGGCCGCTGTCCTGGTGGCTCAATGCCTTTTACCAGGGCGCCCTTCGAGCTATGCACATGGCTGCATGCGGATTGGCCGAGAGCCAGGTGAGTGAAAACAACTGAGGATAGCCGGTGCAAGACTTCGTGTGCTGCGTGGCTGGGATCTAGCAGGGCAACTGGTAGCTACTTCCAGGTGTTCCCCTTTGGCTAGATTGATATTGGTAGCGGGGCCCAGTTGGGCATCCGTGGGCCTACCTCCTGGACTTCTTCATCGCTCCTGCCTCGACTGACGGCATGACTGGAGGAGGAAACGGAGGCTGTGCAACATGTACCTGCTGCCAACGGGCCAACACCGGAGTGGAGGACAACAAGAGGAAGGTGGCTTCGAACGAGGCCTGGACTCTGCACTTGCCAAAGCTCCCCACCGGCACAAGGCCTGACGCAGAAGACCTATAGGCCTATAGGCTATAGGTCATACCGGAGAAGGTTGGGTTTGTTCAGCCGACAATGCCAAGGAAGAGGAGCTGTGAAGTGCCTTCTTGATCCTCTCTCAGCTCCAAGACGTGGCTTGGGACGCGATGGAGAGCCTGGACTATGATGACATCAAATTTGCGGACGACCCCTTCGAGCCAATCACCAAGGTTCTTGACCCACTCTTCCAGCATGAGGAAGAAGTTGAACTACCAGAGCGATGTCAGGAATTCCTTGAACAATTCCAACGAGAACGACAGAACAACTCCAAGCATACCTGGTTCGGCATCAAACGATGTTGAAAAAGCTCAAGGACCTGAACGTCGATGTCCCCCCACCTCTTGCTCGGTGGCACCTGCTGATGCGAGCTGGCATCCCAAGATGGATTCACCCGCAGGTGAAACGGATGTGCAATGTTGAGCTGACGACAGAGAAGGTCAGCCGAGCTCTGGCAAGGATGTTTGGTGCGGATACCACACCAAATGCCAAGGATGGCGAGGTCACCACCTTCAAGCATGACGTGCACATGGTGGGCTACGACCCCTACGACAATGTGACGAGGCCCTGGACGAGACCTACTACCACGACGATGACGAGGTCTACTACCAGTGGGAAGATGATTCCTATGGCTATGGCTCTGAGGATGAGATCAACTACGCCGACAACACGGTGGGCGAGGAAGATGTCCCACCAGAGCTTGACGAAGCAAGCCTGGCAGTTGAGGACGCCTTCATCAACTATCTTGACAGCCGCAAGAAGATGCGAGAACTTGCACTGTCCCGTGGGTTCTATTCTGTGGTCGTCGTTGACTTGAATGACAACAACTTTGGTGGCCGTGGCTCTGGTAAGTCCTATGGGAAGAGCCGAAGCACGGACGGTGGAAAAGGAAAAGGTAAATCAAAAGGTAAAGGTGGAGGCAAGAGCAAAGGAATGAGCAACGGAAAAGGAGCTGGTCGACACCCTTTGCCCGGCGCCAGAAGATTTATCTTTGGCCGAAGATCTCCATTGGAGAGCAGCTCATCGACATCCACGACAGCAAAGTCGACTACAAGTGGAAGCACTGCCCAGCATGGACCACGGTTCAAACGAGATCGACTTCCAACATCTGGCATCAAGGAAGTCCCTGACGACGCCGACATGGTCACGGACGTCCCCACCGAGGTCACACCGGTTCCTGGAGATTTCATGAAGAGATCAATTTTGTGTCTCAGGAAGTTGGATGGGCAATCATGGACAGTGGGCCACAAGAACTGTCTGTGGCGAAGCAATCTGGGACAAGCTGAATGGCTATCTCAACATGCGTGGGATGGAAGCCGAGATCACCAAGGACCCGCGTGACGTTTTGGAGATGGTGTCACGGATCGGTCTCAGTATACTGTGCCAGAACGCCAGTTTGCGTTGGAAAGGTTTGGTGAGACCTGGTGATCCATGTCTTCCCAGGACACGCTCCACTTCTTCTTGCCTGACCTGACCTTGAAAGCTGGAATATCATGGTGAACTACGGCAAGACACTTGTGTATGTGGATGGTGTTGGGATCAACCCCCTCATCTCTACAAATGGTCACTACATGATCAACATCTTCGACGATCTGAACAACATCCTCCACGTTAAAGACCTCTACTATAAGTTAACAGTCTCTGACGAGACGGAGGTGTACCTGGACACGGTGATTTCCGATGACATCTCTGACGAAGAGCTGGACTTTGGAGGCGGACGTCGATGAAGACATGATTGACGAAATGATCTCTGGAGTCGTTGGGAAGAGCAAGATTCATCAGCGAACCCTCAAATTTTGGGAGGTTTATGTCGACGAGGGCAACCTGGGCAGATACATCAGGCATAATTACCCCGACGTAGAAGTTTCTCAGTTCTCATTGCCTCGATGAAACTTTGAAGATCGAGAGATCCAGCGCGACTTTCGCAAGCTGGCCGCCCAGGAGAAACCACACATGTGAGGATGGCACCGGAGTGCAGACTTTGGCCCCCCATGCAGAATCTGAACTACCGCACTCCTGAACGCCGAGCTCTTTTACAAGGTCTTCGCAACTTGGAGGAGGAGACCCACCTCAAGTTCTATGAGAACGTTCCTGCGGACTCCAAGAAGATCTACTTTGACTGCACCTTGGAACAGCCTGCTGATGCTGCATCCTGGCTGACGCCAACCCTTGAGAACATGAAAGGGTACTTCGAGACAGTGCTCGATCGCTGCAGAACTGGACTCACAAAGCTCCACCTGACGATCTTCGATTTGTGAGGAATCACACCCAGAGCATCCTAGATGGAAAAAATCAATCGCACTTGAAATTTTCAATCGCCACTTGAAAAGTTGCAAAATTCAATCGAGTTTTCAAGTGGCAGAAAAAACGAAATTCAATCGAAAATTCAAGCGAAATGCTTTTAAAAAATCAATCGAAATTTCAATCGAAAATTCAAGTGAAAATGGATTTAAAAAAAAAGAACTTTTTTTAACACGCATTTTTTAGTATAAGCGTAAATGGCTGAAAAAGAGCTGTGCCCACTAGTGTGACAGTTGGGGATCATCCAGCCCATGTTGTGACATGTGGGGCTATCCAGCCCACTAGTGTGACAGTTTGGGGCTATCCAGCCCACTATTGTCATTGTGATTTGGAACAGTTTGGGGCTATCCAGCCCACTCATGTATGTCTTTGGCCTGTCCTGCCCACAGCAAGCAGTGGCACAATCTTTTTGGACCTCATGCAAATTGAGCTGTAGCAATATCCACAGCGAATGCAAAAACTGTACACTTAATTGTTTTCTGGGCTTTCCTCTACTTGGCACTCAGAGATGCCTCCTTGATCCTCATTTTCTCCTTCACTTTGTTCAACACCTTCTTCAACATCAGGACTTGGAGGGATGAGGACTTGGGAGCCTTCCGTCTCATCTAGCTTCCAGCCAGCTGCCTGCAATGCCTTGTTGGCTGTTTCTTCTTCCTTGAAGAAAGTGATTTTCCTCCTCTTGGCTTCAGCTGCATCCATATCTCTGGTGGAAGGGAGTTCTGGAAATCCTCCCAACTTGCAGCCCAAACTCTGCAGGAATGTGATTTTTCTGGATATGCTGCCCAGCCCAGGCCACAAATTGTAGTGGACTGGGCTGTCCAGCCCATGGCACTTGCAGCATGTTTTTCATTCCTCCTCTAGCATTCTGCTTTTTTTTTGTTTTCTAGCATTCTGCTATCCTACTCTTCCTCCATGACTATGTACCCTTTCAGGTACAAGTGAAACATCAATCCAATTTTTTGACAAACTTTCTCTGGCACTTTGTGACCTGGTGTCCCATGTGTGCATGAAGCAGACATCTGCACCATCCAGCCCATAAAGCTTTCACTGCCATATGTCCAGGTGAGGCTAGGGTGCAGGGTGCTCTGGGATGCCAAGTGGAAAATTAGGTGGCTTTTCTGAACTAAGCTCCAGAGGTGTTTTCCACTCGCCAGGGCATCTGCTGCAAGCCAAGAGTAGTGGTGCATCACTTCATTGATAAACTGTTGGTGCCTCTTGGGCCAATCTTGCCATTTGGAGTCCAGAAGCTGGTACAATCCAGTTAATTTGCTGGCCACAGCCAACCTGTGCTGGGAAGTTTTTTCCCCTGCGACACTGTGCTCCTTTGCAAGGCTCTCTGCTACAGGGGTAAAGTTTTTTATTCTGGCAGCTTTCTGATGCTTGAGACAAGGGTATTGTTCACTGGAGCCACATAGATCACTTAGGCTCAAAGGTTTGATCCTCTTCTCGGCCTCAATGTTGAGCTTGTCATACTGCTCAGTGATCTTCTTGTTGAGCTGTGTGAGCCTTGCTTCCCCTCAGCAGGGCACTTGTCGTCATGGCATCTCCACATGTGCCCAGCCCAATTGAAAGAGGGTGGGCCAAGGGCTGCCCAGCCCATGCACAAGCAATAAAACAAATGCTAATTCTCCTAGGATCTGTTTCTGCCAGGCAGCTCCTCCATGATGCTGTATAGCAAAGACCCATGCAAATAAGCAGCTACTCCCAAGTCAACTGTGTGGAGCCAGTCTAACTTCACCGACAGAATGCTGACTGAAGGTGCTCTGAAAATGGGATCTTGGTCTTGAGCTGAGAGTTTGAGAGAATTGTGTCTCTCCATGTAGCACAAGGC